GATCTAGTCTCACACAGGATGTCCAATGCACAAACTCCTGGAATCCTGCTATTTCAGCCATTACTGCCCAGATCTAGTCTCACACAGGATGTCCAGTGCAGCTCTGAAGCCTTCTGCTAACTCCTGCTCATGTTCTAGATTCATGCTCCTCTCCAGCTCTGCTCCTCTGCTCAGTAAGGACACCTTTGGGGAGAATAACCGACAATGGTGTATCAATGGTGATGCAGACATTGAGGAAAATCACATCATTTTCCTTATAGATCCCTTATAATGGAGAGGGTTTATTTGTGTCCATGGTTCCTAACTAGAGAAACGACAAGGCCCCTGGTCTAGCTCATCTTCACAATTACAAAAGAAAGTTTCTTGTGGCCCAGGGATGCATACACAGAGGGTGACCTGGAAAACCACAGAGCAGAGTATGACTGCTCTGAACTACTTTCTCTTCCTTAAAGCCTCTCTGATTTCCTATGTCCTCTTAGTGACAAGTGGCTCCCATGCGTCACTGATGACTCTGGACAATTCAGCATGGCACTCGTCACTTCTCAATGACCTTCCCAATCATATTTGTTCCCCGAGGATATGTAATTCTCCTATAAACTTTACAATAAAAAAATACTTATTAACCCAAATAGATCTTATTTGATGGATGGCCACAAAGTAGAACATTGATGAGAAAGAACACATCTACAGAATTTACTCCTGATTCTACTCTTTGTGGTAAATTGACAACCTAACATCCTATTTCTACAAACTTTTTGGCTTTGACTAGTGGTTGAAATCCCAAGTTAAAGTGTCTCAACTTCTGTTTTGGCTTTACTCAAATGCTAATTTAAAATAAAACACTGGGAATAAAGGTAACATCATATCAGTTTTAAAAACTGCATTTACGCTTTGCTCTGTCTCTTCTTGCTGGAAAGGCAGCGCTTTGTGCAGACTTAGGGGCTAGCTTACTACTGCCCAAGCAAGCTGGCTTATCTGTCCCCATCCATTGGCTCTTACCCTGTAGTTAGTTTATTAAATTACAGCTTTAGAGAGCACACAAACTAAACTTTTTTTTATATTTTGAAGGTGCCTGTTAGCCCAACTTGGTGGCCATTTTCAATACATTAATTATGACTTCTTAAAGACCTACTTTATAAGATAGATATCTTGGAAGAAATAGTATCTCTTATTATTGTCAAGTTTAATATTACCTTTCATTTCAAAGTGGTCTGCAGCAGGTACATAATGCCCTTTAGAGTTATTCTTTTATCCTGAAGTATCACAAGAAAACAGTAGGCTATACAGGAAGGTAGGTTTGTAGTATTTTGTGCAGATTGAGAAAGGAGAAAGAATGTCCCAGTTTCTTGTTTTGTAATAGGGATTTTAGAAGGATTTGGTTGAAAGGTGGCTGGTCTGAGAAAGTCTAGTCTATATTGGCAGGTTAATGAGACATACTCCTATGGCAGATGGCCCCTTACTGTTCAGTTATTCTGATCTCAAGTTCTAAACTCTTTGTGACCAATTCTTCTGAGCCCCAGGTGAATTAGCCTCTGAGGGTGCATTATCTTAGTATCCCTGTCTCCCATCTCCAAGACTTACAATGCTTGTTGGTATGTTATGTGAAGCCATGGAAAATCTGTGGTTCGACCTCATATATATTTAATGAAACATATATTCAGGTCTAGAGATATGATTATGTGATTAATTAGGAGTACTCCCTGATCGTGCACAGTACCTGAGTACAGTTCTTCCCCATTGTGGAACACAGCTGCCCAGGACTATAGTTCCAAATGATCTCACACCCTCTTCTGGCCTCCCCAGGCACCTGCACACACATAGTACATATAATCTCAGGACAAAAATAAATAGATGATAGACAAACAGACAGACAGACAGACAGACAGATAGATAGATAGATAGATAGACAAACAGACAAAGAGATATTTAAAGAAACAAACTCTCAATCCTTCGCATGGGTGAAAATCGTTCTGAGATAAATTAGATGAGATGAGGCAAGAGCTGTTGGTGGCTTGAATCTCGACAGCAGTGGTACAATGGCTAGAGGACTGGTGGGTAGTGTTCAGATTGACTGAAAGGTAGATGGCATTCCCTGATGTGTTGGAATTACAGTATAATGAATGGAAATAAAAGATGACTGTAAAGTGTCCAAGTTCAAAAGCTAGAAGGACAAGTGGGAGACAGCAGTAACAGATAGGAAGGCAAGGCCAGTCAGACAGGCTTGAATGATACAGTGATTCCTGTCAATTTCCTGAGAAATACAAACTGAAATGAAAATATTTGTAATAATGGTAACATTGGCAAATAGTTTGGATAATTTAGTGCCAGACATAATTCTAGGTCTCTTTTGTAAATTTCTAGTTAGAAAATACATTTTGGTTACTCATAGATGTGCCATGTTGCCAAGTTGGAGCTGATGGGATGTGAGTAGAAACGATTTATGTAAATTCTGAATCTTCTCCAACATGAAGACAATTTGCTTCCCTTGGACTTCCGCTTGTATAGCCACAAGCATGATGGTATAAGAGATGACCCAAACTTCAACTTTGCACGTGATGGTTAGGCTGCAGGATGGAAAGAACACAAATCCAGAGAAGTTTGTAGAACACGAATTCTCCCTTTTTGCATTCTAAAATGTCCACTTACATCAGAACAAAATAATCTGTTTAAAATTGTTTGGTATCTTTTTTTGTTATGACCATCTAGTCTTATTAATACACAGTCTTCTGAGAATAAAATGTTAGTAGTGTAATCTACAAACATGTGGACTTTCATTTTTGTATCTTTTATAATTATAAACCTGCAAATTCCTTAACTGCACTTGGGCACCTGTCTAAAAGACTGAATCTTACTTCTAGCTATCTGTCCCCACCTCTGCCCATGCAATCAAACAGCAAGGTTCAAGGATCAGCATGTGATCAGTGGTGATCCAGTGGATGACACATTTCCATACAACACATCTAATTAACAGCACCACTGGCTTCTGAGTCATCACTCAGTTTCCAGAGCAAAGCTACATTTCCCAAATTTTTGATTCTCAGTCTCTTGCCCTGACTGTGAAGAGTGAGTTATAGTTTGTCATTTAGCTTTTAAAACACTAACCAGTAAAGGATATTTTTACTTCATTAGATACAGGGTTTTTTTTTCCTTTTGTTCCTTCTGAGCTGTGTTGCAAAGAACAACCTGTAATAAGTTGCTCCCACTTCATGACCAAAAATAAAATCTTCTTTTTAAAATCAAATACTTTCATTTCAACTGTGAGAATGCCAAATTTGGTGTAAAACTATGACAGTTTAAATTTCATCCTCAAAATCCCCAAAACACTGAATTTCAAAGGATATTTAAAATTTAGGAAACATTTTTCCATGGAAAATATTCATATAGTTAGGAAGGTCATAGCCATTAGGGACATAGAGCCCAGCTGCTATTTTCCACAACTACCATTGTATTCCTACACCCACCCTG